TGCCTTCCTGCCTTCCTGCCTTCCTGCCTTCCTGCCTTCCTGCCTTCTTGCCTTCCTGCCTGCCTGCCTGCCTTCCTGCCTGCCTGCCTGCCTGCCAATTAACCTAGTTCTTTTCCCATATAAATTTTATCAGCAAATTTATAGTCTTCCCCACTCATTTTAGCCATTCATGGCTTATTCACTTTAGGTAGCTTTTAAGAAGCCTGTGATTGTATTTTGAATTTTTTTTTCCCCTGGAGAGTACTCTTATTCTCATGTCTTGATTTCCAGTAAGATGATAACTATGACTTTTTTTTTTTGTGTGTGTGTGTTTCATAGACATTCAAATGCCAGTTATTCTAAAAGAACTTGACTTAATTATTTTTCCTCATATTTGTGTAACATCAGGAAACTATTCTAGTTAAGCTGTATTTGTGTTATATACTTGTCTCTTTCTTATTAAGGAGAACTTTGAATGCTATGTCCTATTTGGTAATAATTATATTTTTTATTAAAATTGATTTATGTTATAAATTTTGTGTCATGCTTTGATCTCTTTAAAAATTGTCTGAAAATCTCCTTGAACATAGTTACTTAATTTTATATATTTGACAATAATAATGTATTTATTTCCATACTTACATATTTATAATGTGAGTCTTTTAGCCAGTTTTAAAATATGGTTTTAAGACGCCTATGGTTAGTAAAATTGAAAAGAGTGATTGAAATTTCACTAAAATGATATTGATGAAACTTATTATTCTTAGAGTTTATCTTTTTTTAAAGAAGGGTGGAAATATTTTCATATTTTTTAGTTACTTAGTTATATAATTTTCTTCTAGGATAATCTAGAAATCTAATATGAGTATACGTTTTGATTTTTAGTTTGGTTTCTCTAGTATTTGTTTTATTCTGACTTCCATCTAAAGTATATTCATCACAGTAAATAACTCCTAAAATTTTAGATTAAATGTTAATTTCATATTATTATTAGACATGCTTAAGACATTGATGCTTTTTACATTGTATCTTATTGTATGGCTTGGAATTGGTTTGCTTACTTTAAAAGATATCTTCTTTAAGCATATTTTTGATGATACTCTTGTCTTTTCAAATTACAGATTCATACCTTAGTTGAGAGTTTGAAACTCTCTATCACAGATCAGCAATTACCTATGTTTATCCGTATAATGCAGCTTGGGATTGCTCTTTACTATGGAGAAATAGGCAATTTTAAAGACATTGAAACAGAAGATCCTACCAGTCTCAGTAAAGATATGTTAGGAAACATTACAGGTAAGTATAATAGATGCTTAATTTAGAGCTATTGAGTTTCACCACTTAAAACTTTAAAAACAAGGAGAGCAACAGGGCCCAGGGGTCTTTTCTGAGACTCATACTCCAACCAAGGACCATGTATGGAGATAACCTAGAGCCCCTGCACAGATGTAGCCCATGGCAGCTCAGTATCCAAGTGGGTACCCTAGTAAGGGGAACAGGGACTGTCTCTTACATGAACTCAGTAGCTGGCTCTTTGATCACCTCCCCCTGATGGCGTGCAGCCTTACTAGGCCGCAGAGGAGTACAATGCAGCCACTCCTGATGAGACCTGATAGACTAGGATCAGAAGGAAGGGGGAGGACCTCACCTATCAGCGGACTGGGAGAGGAGCATGGGTGGAGAAGAGGGAGGGAGATTGGGATCGGGAAGGGAGGAGGGAGGGCGCTACAGCTGGGGTACAAAGTAAATAAATTGTAATAAATTAAAAAAACAAGAGGAAAGAATATAGCGAACTGAATCTGTCAATAGTAAGTGACAGTTGCAGTTGCTCCGCTTCCTGACAGCATTTGCTGAAGCCAACATGCTTTCATTTGTCACCATTCTGACGATTGTGTTGTTATTGCTCTTTTAATTTGCATAATTTTGATTTTAATTTGTATAATTTTGTTAAGTAATTTGAGTGTTTTCATAGGTACTGTCCATTAGTAATTTATTTATCCTTGTAAAAGATATGTTATATATCGCCCATTTTAGAGCTTTTTAAATGCTTTACTACATATTTGTGTGTTTTTATATATTCTTCATTCAAGTCATATTTTGTGAGTTTACATCATTAGCCTGTGACTTGCTTATTTATTTATTTTTGAATTCTTTATTAAATACACTTTATGCTTATTTATTTTTAATGAAAATATTATTGTGTGTGTGCACATGTGCATGGTGTGAGTGAGAGGAGAACTTTGGTTCCCAGGGACAGAACTGAGATCGTCAGGCTCATGGGACAAGCACCTTTACCCACTCCCCATCTTACCAGCCCAGCCTTCTCAGTTTCAATAGATGATTCATGAACAGAAATTTTAAGATTTGATACAATTTAAGCTATTTTTTTTTAATAACTGATGTTTTTGGGGCTAACATTCATTTAGTGGTAAAAGCAAGCAAGGGTCTGCAAGCATAAGAATGGGAGGCACCCCATATAAATGGCAGCTGGCATGGCAATCATTGTAATTCCAGTCCTTGGAAGGCAGAGACAGTGTCTCCAGAGTAAGTTCTCTAGCCAGATTAGAGAACTCTCTGTAGTAACTGAGAGAACCACCTCAATGAATAAGGTAGAGAGCAATGGAGCGAGCCTCCTAATGTTAACCTTGTGTCTCTATATAGACCCGTGCATTTGCACGTTTTATGGACAAATTTTGACCATACTTCTTCATTTTTCTCCTGTCTACTTTAGAGAGTTCCAGTTACATGTATTTTAGGCAACTTGTTTGCTTGAGCTCCTTTAAACTTTCTTCATTTATTAATGTTTCTTAACCTTTCTTTCTGTGTTTTATTTTATAGAGTTTCTATTCCCAGAATAACTCAGCAGTTTTCTTCTGTGACTCATCTGCTTTTAGCTTCATCTACTATGTTTTTGTCTTTGCAAGTTCAGTTGGAGACTTATGTGATTCATGCCTCTTTTTGACCTGTTTAAGCATTTTGGAACACATGCCCTCTATTTATATAGCTGTTTAGTGTCCTAATGCTGTGATCTTTGTTACTTCTGGACTGGTTTCTCTTGTTTTACTTTTCCCTTATTCTTTTTATTTGCCTTAATACATTTTATTTATTTTTTTGAGATCAGACTTTTACTAGCTATTTAGTCTAGACTCAAATTTTGGGGCTCAAGCACCCCTGCCTCAGCCTCCAGAGTAAGCAGTATGTAATGGATGACAGATGCATACATCTGTATTTGACTGCCTAGGAGGTTTTGATTGAATGCTAGACATGGTAAATTTTATCCTGCTGAGTTCTAGACAACAAACAGTGATATTACTTGGAAATGATTCATTTGAGGTTTGCTTTAAGTCTGTTAGATAGGAGCAGAGTGGGGCTGTCACTTTAAGTTCCCCTACATCTGCTGCTGTTTTCTCATCTAAGGGAGAGGCCTAAACTTGGGCTGAATTTCTCCTTTCATGGATATTGCTTAGAATATATTCCAGGCAATTAAATGGGAATAATTGGAAAGATCATTATTTTTGCCTCCTGTCCTGTTCTGTCCTGGCCTGTCTGGTCTTCATTGTCTGACAGCCATTGTGGGGAAACCTTTATTTCATATACATACATACATATATATTTTTTTCTAATATATTACCATACATTACCATATATATAGCATACATTATATATATTTATTTCATATGTATGTATATTTAATTGGGAGGATAAGTTCTCCTGGCTATTTCAAGTGCTCAGAGCAAATATATTGAATTACAAAAGAAACTAATTATCTAGTTGCATTTTTTTCTATTTAAATGCTCTCTATTTAATGATTTTATTTTTATTGGCAGGTCCTGAAGATGAAACAAGAATAGAGATGCAGTATTCTGCTCAGTACAAAGGCCAAGAGTTGTATTCACAGGACAATGAGGAGCCTCAGGGATGGGTGTCCTGGGCCTGGTCATTTGTTCCTGCAATTGTGAGTTACGATGATGGTGAGGAAGACTGTCTTGGGAATGACCCTGCATCAACTATGCATCAGCAGAAAGCTCAAACTCTGAAGGATCCCATTGTTTCTGTAGGATTTTATTGCACAAAGGCAACTGTGACTTTTAAAGTATGTTTCTCTTTTCTTATGTTGCTAATATCTTTTAACTTTAATGTTAACAGTGCTCACATATTTTAATAATTTCCTTATTAAAAATGAATATAAAATATATAGTATATAACATGTATGATCACAATGAATAAAAGGGAACGTTCTTTTGTATAAGTATAGTTACTAGTACTTTACCTTCCCATCCTTTTAAATATAACTCAGCTTGAATTTTGAGTTATTTGTTCACTAGCTTTTTCTAATTCATTATCATACTTTTACTACCTACGAGCAGTTCTTAATTTTTATTTTTTGACTCAGAGTCTCATGTAGCCCAGGCTGGTTTCAAGCTTTTTATTTAATAGCTGAGGTTGACCTTGGACTTCAGATCCTACTGCCTCTACCTTGTAAGTGCTTGGATTATAGCCACCCACTGCTCTGCCCAAATTCAAATGTTCATTAATGCCAGCTATGTTCCAAGTGCTAATTTTGTTCCCATAGATAAACTAGTGGTCATCAATCTAGCCTGTTAGAACTTATATTGTAATTGTAAGTCATTGGGATGTAAAGTGTTTATAATAGGTGTTAGGTAGGAAAAAGAAAGTGATAATGTTGCATTAAAAAGAAGAGGATTAAAACCAATTTTAAAATTGGTTCACTGTGGAAGTCATCTTATGATGGAAGCATTTAAGCAAAGGTGTGTGAAAGAGAAAGCCTTGTGGATATATGGAAATGAGTATTTCAGGACTAGCAAGTATAGATAACTCAAGTGTTCAAAAACTATTATGGATGCAGCTAGAACAAAGTGAACTAATATGGAAATAGTGTAGAACTTCATCAGAGGCAATGGGAGTTTGCAGTTTGCAGTAATGTAGTTTGGAAACCACTTAGGTCATGTTAAACTTGTCTTTGTTTTGAATGAGTTAGGAAGTTTTTGAACAGAAAATTTGTATGATGATTTGGATATCTTTTATGTTGGATCGTTTTGATCATTGTGTTGAGTGGATGTGTGTATGTGTGGATGCAGTGGAGGATCAAATTTGTATCTCATTCTTCGCCTGGACCTTAGGATCAGATGGCAGTTTGCTATCATTTGTATGTCTCATAATTTTATACATCCAGCAACTTATTTTTTTTTTCTGTGGTGTCCTGTCTTCCCCACTGTTTTATATTTTTTGTTAAATTCCAGCACTATCCACTAAACTTCTGACTTTATGAACCTTGTTTACGAACCCGCTATGTCAAGTTAGTCGTTGTATTCCACATTTCTTACAAGCTATCCATATCCATAGAGTATGAGTTTTTAAACTTAGTACTTCAGAATACATTTTTTAAAATGAAAGTGGTGAGGAAAGCCATAGGTTTGAAGCAAAGTACTACATTTTGTAATGATTGTTATCCATTTATTTTTAAAATTGAAATTATTGTGTTACTTTTTTGTTGTTACTGATAAAAATAATTATATTCCATAGAATCAGTATAGGCATTCTATATTTATATTCTATAATTATATTCTATCGAATCAGTATGCAGAATATCAGTGGAACATTGGATAGATTTTATTATTAGTAAATATTTTTAAGAATGTAAAGCATTTATGCTTTTCAAAGGAAAGTATGTTGATATGTAGGAGGAAAACATTGTAATTCATAATTCACTTGGATTTGAAGAATGTATGGACTTAATTTGTAGTTTATATTTTTGTTGAAAAATAAGGTCATATTTCTATATGAGCATTTTGAACAGTTGATATTAGTCCAACAAAAATCATGCCAAATTAAGTGTAACATTTTTGTAGTAATATTTAAGTTGTTCTTGCAATGTTTAAGTCCTTTTAATCAATTAATTGCTTTTTCTGTAAAGTAATTGTAGACAGGTAAAGGGTGATTGAGTTTTAAAAATTCAATTTTACTTAAACATTTTTGCTTTCAGAATTACGTTTAAAAATTATAATTTTAAGTATGCCATTACTAGAAACATAAGAAATAAAGGCTTATGCTTTAAAAGAAAAGAATATAGAATTATTAAAGTAAATGAGAATGATTAGTTGTTTCTCAGTATAAAGTAGTTAGGCTTAAAATTATAATTTCCAGTTCAACCACTTTTATTTGGCTTAAATTAAAAAATATGTTCTTTGTCTTTGCATTTCAACTTGAATAATATTCTATATCTACTTTGCAGGAAAAACAGCACACCAAATCATTGACAAAACTAAAATGTACAGGTTAATTAAAGAAATAGCCCTTTCCTACTGGGAAGGAATTTTACAACTGAGACGTTGTAGCAGTAGTGCAGGGCTTTCCCTTTCCCTGTTTCATTTGTGTTTGTTAGCAGTTGATGCTATCATGGTGGGTTATCCAAACCAATAAGCAAAGGCTGACACAGCACTGATAAATTCTAGGCTGTAATTAACTCCTTCACTTTTATTTATTTATTGTTCTGTGATTCAAACTATATGGCCCATTGCGATCAGAGAAGTGCATTTTATGGTTAGGTGCACTCTCTCCCAGCACTTGCCCTCCAAAGGCAGGGCCTTGCTACTAATTTCATGCCAGCCTGGTGTGCACTGTGAGCTCTAGACTAGCAAATAGAGACAGTATCTCAAAAACCAACCAACCAAACAAAAACAATCAAAAAGAGAATGAATTTTAAATAAATTATATACATTTTGATACATATAAACAATGTACTACAAGCTTCAGGGAAACAGAAGTGTTGGTCTCCTGTCACTGTGCACATCAGTGCTGGCTTCCCAGCAGGTAGCCAGTGCCTGCTGCTTAACTGAGTAGTCTGTGAGATATCATAGAGGACATTACTTGAGAGTGAGCTCCCGTGAGCCCTTGGAACCGGAAAGTCCTGTTGAATCTATTTGTGTTTCTCCTTAGCTTTTTTTTTTTTTGTTTTCCATTAAAAAGAACAAGGAATCTTGGACATGATAGAAATTAAACACTTGAAAATATGAGAGAATAAAATGATTTAGAGTTATGGTCTATACAGTACCTTTTTTATAGATTATTTGAACCATTTTATGAGTAGGAATATATGTTATGTGAATATGTGTAGCTTTCACTTTTTAAAGTGCTATGAAGGAGTTAAAACTGTGATATTTCTGTTTAGACTAGTATGTTTGCAAGTTTGACCATTCTTTACTGCATGGATAATTTGTAACAGCTGTTTTTTTTTTTTTTTGCACCTGTTTTTGTGCTTAATAATGAAATTTCCTGAATCTTAAAATTGGCCTTATTTTTGTGATTCATAATGAAAATGACAGTGCATTGCTATTTATGTCTAGTTTTGATTTACTTAATATTTTTCTATTTCTTAGCTCACTGAAATGCAAGCTGAAAGTAGCTATTATAGCCCACAGAAAGTAAAATCTAAGGAAGTTTTATGTTGGGAACAAGAAGGAACTACAATTGAGGTAACCTTTCAATATTAAACTTGGTAACATGTTTTGTCGTAATTGTGTATTTAAAATAGTTACATTTATAGTCTTACAGTCAATCATTCTGTCTTAGTGTTTTTGGTTGAATAATTATTTCTTTAATATGCAATGTGAATTTGTTTCATAACGTGTCTGTGTAGGTGTGGGAGGCTTGATGTTCACAGAGTGCCAACTGTTGAGATTTGAGGTGACTGACACAAGAAGGCTGTTTGTGTCAGAGTACATGCATTTGAAGGGCAACAGTCCTAGTAATGCTTTATGTAGGAAGTCTATAAGGAAAGCCTGTGATTAACTACAGTTCCTAGCTCTAATGTTCCCTTTTCTTTTTAGGCCCTTATGATGGGAGAGGCTTTCTTTGATTGCCAGATTGGATTTGTAGGTTGCAGAGCCATATGTCTTAAAGGAATTATGGGTGTTAAAGATTTTGAGGAGCATATGAATAGAAGTGAAACCGTAAGTCAAAGTCTTCCTCTTACTTGAAATAGAATGCAAAGATAATGAAGCATAATAACCATGTAAGATCTGCTTGGCTGCCTTCATCAGTGGCTTCAGGAGGACCAGTTCTATTCCCTCTGTATTTCTCTTGTGAGAAAATTCATGTCTCAGGAGAGATCAAAAAGTTGATAGTGTTTAACTCCTGGATAATTATTGCAAATATATTCCATTCATAATTGCTTCTTTGTTGTTTATGGCAGTTGCTTGGAATTCCTTTTTTGTTTGTTTAATTTTATTTGTCAAAATAAGCAATACACATGAAGATAATGTTCCTTTCATTTTTACGTGACCTCAAGCATTAGTGATTTCTGTTGAATGCTAAATGACTGTAGTATAAAAAAAACTTTCTTTAATAGTCTAATGACTTTTCCTCATGTTCAGAATTTATACATTAATTTTTTAGGAAGCCTGCTTCTTCATTTGTGGTGAAAATTTGAGTACAAAAGGTTTAACATACCTTACAAATTCATTGTTTGATTACCGAAGCCCAGAAAACAATGGCACTCGTGCGGAGTTTATCTTGGATGCAGCTCACCATAAGGTCAGGGGATACATATTTGAGCTAACTTCTTATTGCTGTTGGGTGAACACATTATGTGAATACATTGTGATTGCTGCTTTCTTCCCAGTCTTTTTTAAAGCACTTTTGGCTTGTTGAAACATTTGTAATGTTTTGATCCAGTTTTTACAGCTAGAAAGGTGTAAACATATTCAGAAATGCTTAGCTTTTTGTGGTATAACTTTAGTTATACTACAACCTTTATGTTTATACTTTACAACAGTTAATTACTTATGGAGGAAACACACAGAATTAACTATTCATTTTTTTGTCTCTAAACTGTAAGATTGGTAAAAAGAAACAAACTTCACTTTTCACTGCATACTTTTTAGTCTTTTTCAATTTTTCATGTAAAATGTATTAATATACTTATAGAATATTAGTGCATTTTCAGATACATCTAAAAGTTACCTTTGTATTTGTATAGTGCAATCTTATAATTTACATTTTAATTATTTTCATTGAGATTGACTTTCATAGTTAAACTAAAAATCTAATGTTTCTTGGTGTGATGAATACAAATTTCAGTCTATCTTCATTGTTTGATATGTTTCCTGTCAGTATATTGAAGTAATTATGGACTAACTCTGTTTGAGAGGGTACAATATTGGACTGTTGTGTGATAGTGATAGAGGTCTAGGATATGTACTACCTATTCCACTAAAGCTATTCATTGACTAGACATTTTAGATACAGTGTTCAAAGTGTCTGCTGCAAATATGGCTAGCCTCTGGTGAGGTCTGCATTAGGGGAATATTACTTAGTGAATTCTTCGGGTTACATCTCTTGTTTGTTTTGTTCGGCAGTCCTTTGAGTTGATGCAGTTCTCATAGGGTTGTGAATCAGATTTATTCTGTTTTAACATGTTCTTCTCTTCAATGTTCTGTTTGTGTTTCCTTGTTGATAGGAGACATATACTGAAATAGCTGGCATGCAAAGGTTTGGTGCTTTTTACATGGATTACCTGTATACAATGGAGCACAGCAGTGGCAAAGGTATTGCTTTCTCTTGGCTATGTATTTACCTTTTCTTAAGCAGCAGAAAATAAGGGTATCTTCAGAGTTAGTTGGCCCTGGGCAGTACATCGGATTCTGAAGATGGTTGGTTGTGCTCTGGAACATGAACATGAACCATATAGCAGGCTAAAACTAGGTTTGTTTTTGGCTTAATTCTTATATTACTCTTATCTCCAGGTATTTTAGGGGGAATGGTTTAATTTTAGTGTTGTAACTGAATTTTAATTTTAATAGAATTGTAATAGAGTTATAGTGTTATAATTGGCAATTCTAATAGATTCTGGCATTTTAAATCTGTTTATATATAGATGTTTGGAAATACATTTAAAATACCAACTAATATTATTATTTATTCATAGTAAATATAAAAATTGTATATATAAAATTTCATTTTAGCATTTCAGAGAAAACAAGTACTTCCTTTTCTGTACTAAATACAGTTTGAAGACTATGTAGATATTTTTTATTAAAGTTTGTTGTTATGAGCAAAAAATAGAAATAACTTGTTTTGGTGCTAAACACTGGCTTAAACAGTCATTTAAGCAAATGAGATTGTAAATTATCTTAAGCACAGTATTATAAATAAGGAGCTAGGAGAGGTCTAGGTCAGAAAACGACAGCTTATTTGAAGGGTTGAAAACTTCAGGGTTGATCTTGAAGGTAAGGTCTTTTTTTTATAAAGAGAGAAGACATATCAGTAAATTTTTGTCTTCACTTTTTTGCATTGTTTTTGTAAGTATAGTTTTTGTTAGAATTAAATACCACATTTATGCATTCACTTTTTATATCTGATTGAAGCTTAAAGTACTAGTATAAAATTTACTTCTTCTAGGTCCAGCAAATCAGCAGGACTTTCCTTCAGGGAAAAATGAAGATTTGGGAATAGTCCAAGAAAAGTCTACCAAGAGCCTTGTCATAGGTCCTCTGGATTTCCGCTTGGACAGCAGTGCAGTACATCGGATTCTGAAGATGGTTGTTTGTGCTCTGGAACATGAATATGAACCATACAGCAGGCTGAAACTAGGTTTGTTTTTGGCTTAATTCTTATTTGCCAAATATTTCACTGATTGTGTGACTTTTTTTCCCCTGTGTTGTTTACTTCCTTTCTGTTATGTTTTACCTGTTAGCATGGGCTTTCATGAATACATCTCAAATTAGAGACTGAAGTTTGTGGACATGTTATAAATGAAATTTGGAAGTTTTTGGCATAAGAACTTGATATACCATATTTCTCAGTGTTTCATTGCTTTTTAATAGTCTTTTCTGTATGTATTTGCAAAACACAACCTGAACATGCAGATTTAACATTCAAGAAAACTTAAGAACTACTGATTAAAATTAGTTTTCTGTACAAATAATTTTAATAAACGCTTGGAACCAGTTATTATAGATTTAAAAAAATTACTTGCGATGAAGTAACTCCATAGAGGAAGAAAATAGCATAGTGAAAGAGTATGGGATTCTGGCTAAGATCTCACTTAGGGAGTCACAGTGTACTTGAATGTCAGTGCTCACTTTTTTTTCATGTAAGATTTTATTTATGGATATGCATGTTTGTTTGAATGAATGTATATCACCTGTTTATAGGTGACACAGACACCAAGAGGATAAATGCACTGTGTACAGGAGGTTATAAGCCTTCTGATGGGTATTGGGAACCAAATTTTGCTACTTTGGAAACCCAGAAAATGTTCTTAACAGCTGAACCGTATCTCCAGTCTTCAAGGATTGCCATTATCCTTACTTAAAAAATTTTTTTTAAATTTATTTATTTATTATTTATGATTACAGTTTATTTACTTTGTATCTCAGCTGTAGCCCCCTCCCTCATTCCTTCCCAGGTCCACCCACCCTCCCTCTTCTCCTCTCATGCTCCTTCCCCAGTCCACTGACAGGGGAGGTCCTCCTCCCTTTCCATTGCACTCTAGCCTATCAGGTCTCATCAGGACTGGCTACATTGTCTTCCTCTGTGGCCTGGTAAGGCTGGCCCCCTCCCTCAGGGGGAGGTGAACAAAGAGCCAGCAACTGAGTTCATGTCAGAGAGAGCTCCTGTTCCCCTTACTAGGGAACCCACTTGGAGACTGAGCTGCCATGGGCTACATCTGTGCAGGGGTTCTAGGTTATCTCTATGAATGGTTCTTGTTTGGAGTATCAGTCTCAGAAAAGACCTCTGTGCTCAGATTTTTTGGTTCTGTTGCTCTCCTTATGACAGTCCTGTCTCCAGATGGCCATAATCTGTTTGAATTTATCTTTCTCTATTTCTTTAGTAATTTTATTTGTTTCCTTCATTCTCCTCTTCATAAGCATAGATGTAAGGTCATCTTCTTGAATTTCACTTATGATAGGGTGTCCAGACTACTTGCTCCTGGATAACTGGGTTCTGGAGATGCCATTTTGCTTTGGCTTTTGTTGGTTGTGCTTTTACGCTGGCCTCTAACCATCTGGCTGGCTCAGGTGTTGGCTCTTACTTCTGGTGCCTGTGGGAATCCTGGGGTGGGTAGAAGTCCCCTTGGCAGGAACATGGTTGTTCCTGAAGGAGGCCTCCTTAGCTTTTAGGGTATGGTCATCGAATGGCTGGTGCTTCTCAGGAATTGCCACAGCTCATCTCAGGTGTATGGACCTGGTTGCTAACTGTGGTCATTGGCAGTCAGGGAGCCTCTCCTCTCACCAGGAGAATTCTTGGAGACAGATGCCCTGCCACTGGGTTTCTTGCTCTGAATTTAGTGAGCAGCTACTGCTGCTCTTACACTGTTTTTACTGGGAACAGCCTTCTTGAAGAACCAGGGAGGCCTGCGGTTTGGTAAGTTTAGCTAGAGAGACAGGCTGTGCCGTGGAGCAATGTCTGTGGGCTGATCCCATGGATTCCAGGTTTCTTTAGGTTTGAGTTTGCAGCTCTGTGCCCAAGTACCTATGAGGTAATCAGTGGCAGGTGAGTGTAGCACTCATGGGTGCAGCAGGAGGCTAGAGCCTGGAGCCTGCGGGAACCCAGGGACTTTTCTGGGGATTAGCTGGGTGTACTGAGGTTGGATCTGATGTTTCCCCCACCATGACATTTCCTCCTGACAGGGAGACCCAGTATGTGGTATTTTGTGGTCCACAGTTCAGTCTGGCATGGGGAGTATAGCACTCAGGCAAGGGTCTCTGTGCTGGCTACTGGCTGCCTGCAGGGTCTTGGGGTCCTGGGAACTTTTCCTGAGAACTTTTCAGGTGTGTGTGTCGGGAGGTAAGTTGAGTGCCCTGAGGTTGGACCTGATGTTTCCTTCATCGTTGGATTTCCTTCAACCCAATCTCTGATGTTTTGGGGCCCGCAGTTCTGTCTGCGGTGAGTCGGGTGCACAGGCATGTGTCTTTTGGCTGGTGGCTGAGCACCTGCTGGAGCCCAGGACCTTTTCCAGGGATTAACTGGGTGACCTGAGGTTGGTCCTGATTTCTTCCTTCACTGTGGGGTTTTTACTCAACTGGAAATCCCAGTCTCTGGTGTTGTGTGGCCCACAGTTCTGTCTTGGGTGGTGATCAGAGCACTCAGGTGTATGGCTCTTGGCTGGCGACCAAGTGCCTGCTAATGGGATTTATCTGGGTGATCAGAGAATGGCCCTGATTGCTTCCCACACTGTGGGGTTTCCTCTCATCTGGGAAACACAATTACTGGTGTTTTAGGGTGCAGAGTTCGGTCTCTTGTTTGCTGTGCAGTCACTACTGTCCTGCTCATCCCACACAGTGTCCTTTTGGTGCTGCCATCTTGGATCCCCCTAGCTGGATACCGACCGTACTTTGAGTTTTTGAATGTTCCATTTATCCATCCATCCATCCATCCATCCATCCGCCACTTATTTGTTTGTTTATTTCTTTTGGAAATAAAGTCTCATTGTGTAGCTTTCAGATAGCCTAGGTCTTGCTATGTAGATCTGACTGGCCTTGAACTCTTACAGATTATCTGCATATGTCTCCCAGAGTGCTGGGATTAGAGGCATGTTATTGACTTTAATTTTTATAAATGGAATCATACAGCATTTGCTCTTTTCTATATTTGTGGTAAATGTTCTTTTGTGGGATATATGTTCTTACTGCTATATAGGATTTTTTAAAAGTAGATACAATTTACTTGCCCATTTTACTTTCAATGAAGATTTGGTTCATTATTAGTTCTTTTGCTATTTTCATAGCAAGCACTAGCTTAAATGATTATACATTTTCACTTTCAGTTGGTACTTCCAAACTGCATTGGTGAGTGGTTGAACCATTTTACGTCTATAAACTGACTATGAAACTTCCATTTGCTTTTGATCAGATTATAGTCTGAAACCAGATGTTTATGGTCTATAGGCAGAAGTGGTTTTATATCTTAAACAATTAAAGAATTTCATTTTGTACAGATTAAAATTATATGAAATTTAAATGTGAATGTCTTAATGTTTAGGTGTGTTTTGAACCCAACACCTTATACGTGCTAGGCAACTACTTAGCTACATCAAGTCCTATTAGTACAGATTTGTTGGAGCTCATGTGGCTCCTTATTGTCTTTGGCTACTTTTGTGCTACAGTGGTAGGTCTGAGTAATTATGATGGACTGTACAGTCTGGCCCACAAAGCCTAATGTGTATGACACTACAGAAAGAATTTGCTGATTTTTCTCCAGGTGTCTGTCAAAATTTTGTAATTTCCATCTTTAAAATTTTAACCATTTTAGTGGATGTGCAATTCTATTATACTGCCACTTCATTTGCAGTTATATGATACCTAATAATATTGTCTAGCTTTTTATATAATGTTTGGCTGTTTGAAGAAGCCACATTTTAGTTAAGTTGGGTAAGTTATTCCAATAGCATTTTACGTAATTATTTTTAGGTGGTTTTAAATTTTTAATAAGTGTCCATTTTGGGGGCTGGAATGAGGCTCAGAGTTATGAACATTTGTCGCTTCAAACTCAGATTCAATTCCCAGTACCTAGTTTGCCGCTCCTAACCATCTATATAACACCAGTTCCAGGGTGTCTTCTGCCCTCTGCGGGCCCTAGGACCCTCTGTGGTGCTAAGACACACGTACAGGCAAAACACTCTTACAGAGAATAGATAAATCCAAAAAGTCTGTCTGTTGGGATCTCTGTCTTCCTCTCTGTATCTTTATCTGGCTATGGCAAATGGGTTTCTCTGTTTTGTGTCCTGTCTTTATACATTTAATTTTAATGATATTTTACTGTCCAGAAAATTGATATTCTTTTATAGAAATAAATTAGGAATTCCTGAAAAGATATATTAAAATAAAACATTTAATTTCTATATAGCACATATTTATACATTTATATTATCCAGTGATTTGTATTATAATCTTGAGTTACAATTTTATGACTGTTTCATTTTTGCAGAATTTCCCTTAAAATTTGGGGAACTGATTCATTCAGTTTTTAGTTGGCTAAGAAAATTAACTTATTTAAAATATTCTTTATTGAATTTTTATCATTTTTATTTCAGAAAGTAAGGATGAAAAGGAAACAGTGCTGAATCCCGAGGAAGTGGCTTCTTTGGAGGAATATATTCCTACACGGCATACAAGTGTTACTCTGCTCAAATGTACTTGCACAATTTTCATGGCAGAATTCAATTTACTTGACCATTTGCTTCCTGTCATCAAGGGAGGAAAGGTATATTTCTTGTTCAATAACATGTTTTCAGTGGTGCATGTATAATTTGGTTTATTAAATTAAAATGTATTTGTGTATATATTTCGCTTGATAAAGTAAACTCTATAATTATAGTTCCTGATTTTTAGAAGGTAATAGTAAATATTTTTAATAAAACTATGCTAAAGCTGTATAAAATATATAAGGCTGTATTAAAAATGTTGAATCAGGTCTTTTGGAAGTGAGACCATATACTGCTGTATTACCTCAGGTAGTTGCTTTATATCTTGAATTCTTATTTTCAAAGGGTTGTATATTTAGGAATTAAATCAAAAGCTTTGCTGAATTAATGATTTCTTTTTAAAAATATTACATTTGTTTTCTCTGTCTGTCTGACTGTCTGTCTCTGTGTCTCTCTGTCCTTGCCTTGTATGCCGTAGCATACTTTTGGAGGTTAGAGGACCACCTATGTGCATCGGTTCTCTCTTTTACACCGTGTGGGTTAGGGTTACAGGCAAGTGGCCTTACCTGTTCAGTCATCGTGCCTGTCATTAATTTCTTCATTATGTAACAAAGGCAAAGTCAGCATTGCCGTCAGCTTCTGTTCCTCATGACATCACTGCAGTACAAGGACCAAGTTACTTTTACCATGTGTGATAGAGCATGCATTTATCATACACTGCAGCTGGACTTCAGGAGTGGTATTCAGAACATTCTTACATCTTACCTGAATGACAGAAGCCAATCATCTAAACAAGTTCCCTTGTTCCCATTTAGAACCAGAGGCAGAATGGCTTAGTACTAACACAGTTCTGTTTGAACTTACTGCTGATACCTTGTAGTGGCTCAAGGGAAAGCAGCAAGTGCTTACTGTCCAGGATTTAATTCTAATTCTTGATACTGATACCATGTTTGTAGTGGAATTTCTACTTTGCTCTTTCAGTGTTGTTTTTTTTTTTTTTTTTGATAATAAGAATTTACTTTGGACAAGGGTAGCTTAGGAGCTAGCTAGCAATATCAATGGAATTTCATGATTTGAGCCATTTTCTCAGTAAAGTTTCTTTGCTAGCAATTTTCCCTTTGCAAATTGATATGGATGAGGGACAAATCTATGATTTGAGAATATCACAATAAAAATAAGCAAAAGTAAGAGGCACAGCAGAAAAAAATGACTTAGAAACAAGAAAAAACACCCAAAACTGTATAACAACTGAAATGTATGTAACAAAAAAACACATCTACGTAAGTCATTTGCAAACAAAACCCTCTTTAGAGAGCCATACAAGTTTGGAGTGATGGCATACCAGATAAGAGCACTTTGATGGTCTTGTAGAGGACCCCGTTTTGGTTCCCCACATGGCAGCTTAGTTCATCTGTAACTCCAGTTACAGGCATCCCAATACCCTTTTCTACCTCTGTAGGTGCCAGATTCACATCCATACACAGATACACATGCAGGCAAAAGACCGCATGAAATAAAAACCTAAAATAATCTTTTAAAACAAAAGCTAAAGAAGAAGTACACTTTCTACAAACGGTCAAAGATGACTGCACAACTACCTTATACTAAGAAACCACACTAGCAAGAAGAAGGAAGAGTAGAGTTGCTAAAGATTTGCGGGAACTAGAAGTGGGTATCTCACAAAAGTATAATTCAAAAATGAAGGAGAAGTCAAGGAAAAATTTAGAACAGCTTTTGCTAGTAAACTCTTACAGTTTATTAAGATATTGGGATTTTTACATATGGACTTTAACCCTAGTGACATCAAGAAAAAAGTTTCAGGTATTAGAAATTGAGCTGGGCATGCTGGGTTGCGCTTCGATAATCCCAGCACTTGGGAGACAGGGCAGGCAGGTCTCTGTGAGTTCAAGGCCAGCCTGGTCTCATAGCAAGTTCCAGACAGTCAGAGCTACATCATAGACCCTGTTTAAAGGAAAAAAAAAAAAAAAAAAAAAAAGTATTATCAGAAATAAAGGAACTACTCTGCAATGTTACATATGTCTGTTTAAAGAATGAGGAACATACACAGTTCCCACAGATGTTTAGTCAAAGACAGTATTCTCTATGATTCCATTATATGAAGTTCAAAAAGAGAGGTACATTGACTGAAGGGAGAATGTTGTTTTTCGTATTGCCTGGAAAGGGAAACAGCCTTCTGGAGTTCTTCAGATGGGCAGGTGTTACACTGGTTCATTGTGTTTCACATCTCAGACTGGTGTATGGTTCATTGTTGTCTCTCCTCCCCACCATAGGAATCTAAAGTAAGGTTATTTGGAAAGGAAAACAAAACAATAACTGAATTGAAAGTAGTTTCACAATTACTGATAATGAAAAAAAGAAAGAAGAAAGAAAGAGAAAGAAAGGAAGGAAGGAAAAAAGAAAGAAAGGAAGGAAGGAAGAAAGAAAGAAGAAAGAAGGAAACCAAAACAAAACAGTGAGGGTACTCTCTTCCAAGTCAGTCAATTAGCTACATTGTTTCTCTGTAATATTACTGGCTTTTTGATTAGAGAAACAGCTTGTAACATAGGTTGTCTCAAGATAAAGAGTGTTTTACCTAAAATGCATTCTTTGTGATCTGGAAGACATACATCTAATTTAGGGATGTTCTGAAATGGGCCATAACTTAATGTATACCATCTCTTTATTTAGTCACTTTCTTTCAGGTTCGGTTTCAGGATTTCAGGATTGGTTTCTTTAAAGGTTTGTTGAGTGAAGTTTGCCTCATATTTGAGGGTTTACTTGTAGCATCAGGGAATCCTAAAAGAAAAAGAAAAAGAAAAAAAAAAAAAAAGAAAAGGAAAAAAAAAGTCAAGGCATACTTGGAATATCTGGAAGACATTTGTATTTGGTTATTTCACCAGAGTTGTAACAGAGGCATTTCTAGATAGTTTTCTCACTATGAAATATGAGGGTCTGAAGTTTTTTCAGAGGGATGTATGTAGATCAGTCATTGTTCTGCTAAAATGTAAAATTTAATATCATTACTTTCTAGAACTCAAGTAACTTCATGAATGCCACAAATTTCCAGTTACTTCGACCTTTGCCATCCCTTCAGATATTGGTGGATAAAATTAATTTGGAACATTCTGTTCCCATGTATGCTGAACAGTTGGTGCATGTCGTCAGCAGCCTCCCTCAGCCTTCTGATAATCTTCTTCATTATTGCTATGTCCACTACTACCTTAAGGTAAGGGAAGAGAATTTTCCTGTTTGCTAGTATCTGTTCACTTCAAGAACACCAAATGATTTTTTTTTTGTGCTTAAGGTTGTAATTTTAGAGAATCAATATTTAATAAGATAAGATTTAAGTAAGATTTAGTCACTACTCCTGTATAATTAAAAAGTGTGGCAACTATAATTTTATAGTTCTGAAGATTTGAAAATATCACCCATAATGAATTTTGCAAGCAGTGTGAAAAATGTTTAATATGGGTATTTTAAAAAGGCCAGGATTTATTTGGAAGGAGATGTTAATGTCGACATAGTGTTTCATAAGGAGGTAACACACTTGGCTGTAGTCATTTTCCTCTTGGTGGGCTCACATTAATTTCTTGATGTAAAGGGAAACGTTTTAATTTGTTTAGTGAGCCTGTGTGCAGACAGGCATGCACATACGCATATGCATGTGAGCACATGCAGTTATTCTTATGGCTGGAAAGCTGAGGTTGACATCAGATGTTTTCTGTCACTGTCCACATGATTTCTTTTTTTTTTCTTTTTTGATATATATTTTATTTTTTTAATTTAATTTTATTTTTTTCTTATTGGTTACATTTTATTAACTCTGTATCCCAGCTGTGTCCTGCTCCCTCCTTCCCTCCCAATCCCACCTCCTCCCCATTCATCTGACCCTGTTATATCAGGTATCTTCAGGACTGGCTGCGAAGCCCTCCTCTGTGGCCTAACAGGACTGCTCCTCCCTTGGGGGGTGGGGAGGTCAAAGAGCCAGTCATTGAGTTCCTGTTAGAAATAGTCCTTGTTCCCCTCACTATGGGAAACCAATTGGTTACTGAGCTACCACAGGTTACATCTGAGCAGAGGTTCTAGGTTATATCCATACATGGTCCTTGGTTGAAGGACAGTCTCTGAGGAGACCCTGTGCCCAGATATATTTGGTCCTTGTAGAGCTCCTATCCTTTCCCCATCATACTAACTCCCCTTCTTACATATGATTCCCTGTACTCTGCCAAAGGTTTGGTCATGAGTATTTGTATCTGCTTTGAAAACACTGCTAGTTAGAGTCTTTCAGATGTGCTCAGTAGACTCCTGTCATACGTGATTTCTTGATCGCAGATTTCTACTGTACTTGCTACTCATGGATTGGCTGACTAGTGAGTCCCTGGCAGTGGTTACAGGCATGTGTCACTGTGGCTGGTTTTTAAACATGGGTGCTAGAGACCAAACTCAGGTCTGCATGCTTCTGAGGCAGTTAATTTCTCTGGTCTTTCCACCCCAAACCTAAAAAAAAAAAAAAAAAAAAAAAAAAAAAGATATATTTAAAAATAGTTATAGGGTCAGTGAGATTGCTGACCATGTACCCATAGTAATGTCATGGGTGTATGTGGTGGTGAGAGGACAGCTTGTGAAAAATAATTCCACTAGGTGGGTTGAAGATAGTGAGCTCAGTTCCTTAGGCTTCGTGGCAAACACTTTAAGTCATATAAGCATCCTAGTTTTATCCCAAAAGTGCATTGGATTTCATGTGCAGGGCTTGATGAGAAAGATTAAAGACCTTTCCAAATAGAGCCCTGCTCTCAGTTGATACATTGGTGCTTAAAAATCTTCATTTATATATTTCTAATGTAGAAAACATAACAGTAAAGAATAGTTTTAGGTCTCTTCAAATTAATTTTAACTTTAAAGTATTGAAGTCATCTCAAATAGAAAGACATGTTTTCTAGGAGCTTCATTTGGGAAGTGGAACAAACATGGCAACATTTATGGTGCAGTTGGTACTGACATCTCATTCATGTTCACTCACCTCTGAACTCTGGACTGTGTTCTGTTCTTTCAGGTTTTTGGTTTTCAAGCAGGACTGACATGTTTGGATCCTAGTGGATCTTACTGCTCACCTGCACCAGTTATTCCTTCTTTTAGCACTGCCCTTTATGGGAAGCTTCTGAACCTCCCTACTCTCTGGTAAGTAGTTAATTACTTGTTAAATGGTTTATGTTCATTTTTATTTTAAAATTTCTGGATTAAAAAAATCCAAACATGTCTGTCTTATGCCCATGTCTTAGTTTTATACAAAATCTTAAATTGAAATTGTATTAGAAATGAAAACCTCCATTTTTTTAAAACTTAAAATAATTAAAGTATTACAGCTATTTATTTTGTATGTGTACATGTGATATGTATGTGTGTGTATTTATGTGCCATGATGTGTGTAAGTCAGGAGACAACTGTGGTGTGACTTCTTTCCCATTATGTAGGACCAGGGATTGAATTCAGATATTTGGGTTGCTGGTAAGCACTTTTATTTGCTAAGCTATCATAACAACTCACTGTTTTCATTCTCTGTAATGTGTTCGTTTCCAGTGTCTTTTGTAGTAGGGAGACTATTGATGGGCAATAACTTACTTCATAGTAGAGGCCTTAGAGTATCAGGGACTACAAAAATATGTGACCTTTCCTTCCTGGGAGCTACATAGATTGGTGGAAGAAGTGTAGTACATGGTATTTGTCTAGTAAATAATTTCACCTTACTCAGCATTATACCCATAATATAGAGAGGACGTGTTTAGTAACTGCATTTTGGAAGATTCTTTACCCTCATCATTTTTACTCAGGATTGCTTACTCTATGTGAAGGCCATACTTCCTTAAATTCTAAGAAATCTTTAGAAGGAAAGGTGATATTTCCTGTTATTTTTTTAGTGAAAAGTAAATGTTTTAAAATATAGAGTTAACTGTTTAAACAGAAGAAATATCTGTGTAATATGTGAAATTATCTTCTAGTGAAATATTTTTATATTAAAGACATTTATTTCTTTTTTTCACATTTCTTTTCTTATTTTTTTTTATTACATTTTATTAATTCTGTATCCCAGCTGTATTCTGCTTCCTCCTTCCCTCCCAATCCCACCCTCCCTGTTTTAGCAGGTATCTTCAGAACTGGCTGCAAAGTCCTCTTCTGTGGCCTAGCAGGACTCCTCCTCCCTTGGGGGTTGGGGAGACAATTTTTTTTAACTTATATTTATTTATTTATTTATTTTTTTTGCCATTTTTTAAATTTTTAAGATTTTTAATTTTTTTTAATACAAAGTGAATTTTTTATTCACTTTGTATCCCAGCTGTAGCCCCATTTCTCATCCCCTTCAGTCCCACCCTCCCTCCCTCATCTCTCATTCCCCTCCTCCCCTTCCATCTGACCCTAGCTTATCAGGTCTCAACAGGACTGGCTGCATTGTCCTCTGTGGCCTGGCAAGGCTGCTCCCCCCTTGCGGGGGTGGGTGGTCAGAGAGCCAGCCACTGAGTTCATGTCAGAGACAGTTATTGTTCCCCATATTATGGAACCCACTTGGAGACTGAGCTTCCATGGGCTACATCTGAGCAGGGGTTCTAGGTTATTGCCATGCACGGTTCTTGGTTGGAGTATCAGTCTCAGAAAAGACCCCTCTTCACAGATTTTTTTGGTTCTGTTTGTCTCCTTGTGGAGCTTCTGACCTCTCCAGGTATTTCTATCTCCCCCTTCTTTCATAAGATTCCCTGCACTTTGCCCAAAGTTTGGTTATGAGTCTCAGTATCTGCTTTGATACCCTGCTGGTTAGAGTCTTTCAGAGGCCCTGTGTGATAGGCTCCTGTCCTGTTCCCTGTTTTCTCCCTCTTCCTATGTCCATCCCATTTGCCTTTCTGAGTGAGGATTGATCTCATCTTACCCACAGTCGTCCTTATTGCTTAGCTTCTTTAGGTGTACAGATTTTAGTGTTTATCCTATATTATAGGTCTAGTATCCACTTATAAGTAAGTATATACTGTGAGTATGTACAGCTTCTGGGATACCTCACTCAGGATGATCTTTTCTAGTTCCCATCATTTGCCTGCAAATTTCATGAATTCCCTCTTTTTAATACCTGAGTAGTATTCCACTGTGTAAATGTAACACAGTTTCGGAATCCATTCCTCCATTGAGGGATATCTGGGTTGTTTCCAGGTTCTGGCTATTACGAATAAAGCTACAAACATGGTTGAACAAATAAAGACAAGTATTTCAAATTAGCAGTCTTCTATTTATATAATATATCTTCAGTTATTTTCGTTTAAAGTAGACTTTCATTCAAAGTAACTTCCAGAAAAATCCAGATATGGGTATTAAAAAAATAATCATGTTCCTTTAATAATGTACAATTTGAAAGTAAAATTGGTAAGGTAATTGTTCATCTTTTCACAGAAATTTGCCCATTAACCCAGAGAGTTCATAAAAAACATATTATAATTAATTTTTGAATGAATTCTGTGAAGTGAAGCCATTTTAAAGTTACTCTTAATGTTTCTTGGTTAGGTTTCTCTTAGTAAATGTAATTTTTCTCATATATCATTTATTACAGATTGATTTAACTTTATGTACATGGTATATTTCATTTGTGCAAATACATTTTATATTCTGATCTGTTAAGACATGTGGGCCAGCCACGGTAGCCCTCAGCAGACAGAGGCAGCCCGGTCTACATAGTGAGATCTGACTAGCAATGGCTACATAGTGAATAATAAGACCTTGTCTCAAGGAAAAACAACAACAACAAAAAACCCAAAACCAAAAACAGGATTTTTATTTTTGTAGTTTATATGTTGGTATCAATTTTACTAAGTGCTTCAGAAAATTGTTATCTCAATTATGTCATTTTCTTTATTGTAAAAGGCAGAATGAAATATTTCGCTTCTCTGTAAAAACACTTTCTTGTTGATGTTTTCTGGTTAGACAAAAACTGGCACCTACCTGTTCCAGATGCTTAACAGCCCAGTATTTGACTTTCCATATTTTGCCATCTTTGCCTTTGAGTGACTTTTTTAGTTGCTTTGTCCTTTTCTCAAACATATCTTGATTCCTTTAATGTTTTAGGACCACAATTTGTATTTTGGTGTTTTTTTAGTTATTTTTCTTGTTGCTGAATGTAATGAGAAGCAACTTAAGTTGGGGAGGGTCATTTGGTTCTTGCTTTGAGGTTATGCAACACATTATGATGGGGAAAGCATGGTGCCAGAAGCAGAAGACTGACAGCCACATTATAGCTAACTCAGGAGGCAGAGGCTAGACCCTAAAGCTTCAAGGTCCACCGCAGTAACCCACTTCTTCCAGCATAGCTTCACTTCCTAAACGTTGAAGCCTTTCCAAACAAGTTGACAGCATCACTGGCAAGAAAGCAGGTGTTCAAACACACGAATACATGGGGGACCCTTGAATATTCAGGCCACAACATTGTCTGAATTATTTAGATTTACCATCACCTCTCCTACCTCCAAGATCACGTCCTACCATGGGAAACAGCAGTCTCTAAAGCTCCATAGTGGATTCCACCTCTTTTTTTTTCCTTTATTAATTACACTTTATTCACTTTGTATCCCCCCTGTGGTTCCCTCCCTCCTCCTATCCCAGTCCCTGTCGTCCTCCACCTTCTGCATGCATGCCCCTCCCTAAGTCCACTGATAGGGGAGGACTTCTCCTTCCTTCTGATCCTAGTCAATTAGGTCTCATCACGAGTGGCTGCCTTATCTTCTTCTGTGGCCTGGTAATGCTGCTTCCCCCTCAGGGGGAGGTAATTAAAGAGCAAGCCAATCAGTTCATGTCAGAGACAGTCCCTGTTCCTAGTACAATGGAACCCATTTGGATACTGAACTGCCATGGGCGACATCTGTGCAGGGGTCTTAGGTTATCTCCATGCATAGTCCTTGGTTGGAATATCAGTCTCAGGAAAGACCCCTGTGCTCAGATATTTTGGTTCTGTTGCTCTCCTTGTGGAGTTCCTGTCCTTTCCAGATCTTACTATTTCCCACTTCTTTCATAAGATTTTCTGCACTCTGCCCAAAGGTTGCCCATAAGTCTCAGCATCTACATTGATAGTCTGCAGGGCAGAGCTTTTCAGAGGTCCTCTGTGTTAGGCTCCTGACTTGTTCCCTCTTTTCTCCTTCTTCTGATGTCCATCCTCTGCCTTTCTGGATAGGAATTGAGCATTTTAGCAAGAGTCCTCCCTCTTGATTAGTTTCTTTAGGTGTACAGATTTTAGTAGGTTTATCCTATATTATATGTCTATATGAGTGAGTATATACCGTGTGCATCTTTCTGCTTCTGGGATAGCTCACTCAAGACAACACATGCTGGAGAGGTTGTGGAGAAAGGGGAATCCTTCTCCATTGCTGGGGGGAATGTAAAGTTGTACAACCACTCTGGAAAGCAATCTGGCGCTTTCTCAGACAACTAGGAATAGCGCCTCCTCCAGATCCAGCTATAGCACTCCTAGGCATATGTCCAAAAGATTCTCAAGTACACAATAAGGACATTTACTCAACCATGTTTGTAGCAGCCTTATTTGTAATAGCCAGAAGCTGGAAACAGCCCAGATGCCCCTCAGTGGAGGAATGGATGCACAAATTGTGGTATATCTACACAATGGAATATTACTCAGCAATAAAAAACAAGGAAATCCTGGAATTTGCAGGTAAATGGTGGGATCTGGAAAAGATCATCCTGAGTGAGCTATCGACTTCTTTCTTAGCCCTCCTGTGAGCATACTCCTATTTGGCTTCAGAAACGGGCAGTATACATTTTGTTCTCCCACATCCCGTTCTCTCAGCAATGCTTCTTTTTTTCTGTGGTCTTCTAGGCCCTGACATTAAGGAAGATTTCAGTCTGCAATAACCATGTGTTCCTAATGACTCTTATGAATCAGCCAGTCAGAGAGACTGATTAATGTCATACTGCCTCAGGCTGTGTAGCCTTTGTTTAATGGAGGAATGAATAAAATACAACTTAATTCCATTTACCCTATGTTGCATAGTCTCACAAGGCAGGTTGTAAGTGTCTCTTTCTCTGTTTCAAGCAATCCAGTTACAGTGTATTCTCTGTTTACCATAGTTTCTTGTAAGGAGGCATTATGGAGCTCCCCATCTACTAGCTAAATTATGGATTTTCTTTTTCTCATTATT